ACAACTCTACCAAGAGGGTTTGGACTTTCCCTACATGTTCTTTATAATTACTAGGCTCTTCTATACAATTTTGTAATGTGAGATGTATGATTACTAGAATTATATGATCCATTGTAATCTTCTTCTTTTCTCCATTATTATTGAGTTAATAAAATCTCTTAATTCCCCTATCATATTCTTGTTTTTTTTTTATTCTTTTGCTTGTGCTCAAATACTTCATTATTGTGCCATATAACTTCAATATCTCAAGCCGGTAGTTGGTTTTGCAACCCACAAAATGAAAATAGGGGCTGAACCTCGCAGTATCCTAAGGTTAGTTGAAGCTGCCGCTTTCATCCACCATAAATTCATCTCACTTTTCCACGAGAAAACCTTAGGAATATATAAGTTAAATTGAGCTTCAAAGTACTCCCATACCTTGGAGGCACCTCATTTTCACATAAATTATTATCAATACTTTTGATTTTTGGCAATAGACAGCAGTCGCACTGAGAAGCCACTGGGATCCCAATGGACTGGACAACCTCGTCTTTCTTTTTCCACACCAACATACAAACGACATCTTCTTTGGCACTATATAATTCCACAACCATTTTTTCCATGGACAAGGTTCGAACTTCTGGCAAATAAAATCCCAAGCCGATTATTGGTATGAGGATTGTATTGGTCACCCCCAACGCCATAGTCAAATGAGTACTTGTAAAAAATTCCTTTGCCACATCCAGCAGATCCCCCTTTTACCACTTCCCAAGCAAGAATAAAAAATCCAGCACTGAATCCATCCGGCCCTGGGCTTCTATCAACAGGAATGGACTAAAAGGTTGTTTCAACTTCCTCAAGATCCGGTATCCTACATAAATTTCTGTTATCATCATCTGTGATGCTTGCATGAACTAGCTCCATCCCATTTCCTTCCATATCTACTGGAGAAATCGAGAACAGTTTTATAAAAAAATTGGACAGCTCCTTGATGCACTTCATCCACTGTATGGAATTTCGTCCCATCCTTCAGTACCATATGTTCAATCACTTTGCTCTTCTTTTTGTTACTCACACTAGCATGGAAAAACTTTGCACTATCCTTTTCCTCTTGCAGCCATTTTATACGAGATTTTTGCTTCTAAAAAATCTACTCCCTGTTATGCCATAATGATAATTGGCTCCTACACTTCATAAGTTCCGATTCTGTATTCTGTGAGTATTCCTCAATTAGAGTGTGTTCTAGATTAATCATTTTGTCCTTCAAGAATTCCAACTCTTTTTGCACTCTTCCAAAGACCTCTACATTCCATTTCCGAATCGCCACCTTCAATGCCCTCAACTTCCGTGATATATAGACCGTAGGTGACCTTACCACAGGTGAATTCCAAACTTTTTCCACAAGCGGGAGGAAGCCCTCATGAGAACACCATATATGAAGAAATCGAAACGGCCTAGGTCCATGTGTCTCATAACCATCCCGACATTGAATTACCATACGGTAATGGTCTGAAGAAGATCTATCCAAGTTTGACAGATACACAACATGAAAGAGCTCCTTAAACTTTTGATTAATCAACTCACGGTCTAGGAGAGCCCAAATACGGTGTAACTCGAACCTACCATTACACCAAGAAAACTTTGGACCATTAAAAGGGCTATCCAAAAGACCCACATCATGAATAAAGTCGTTAAAATCTTCCTTAGACCAAGAAGAAGCTAACAGACCACCCACGTGTTCCTCATCCGACTGGACAACATTAAAATCCCCTCCTACCAACCATGCCTCTTCATCACTCTCCAACCCACACAATTGATCCCATAATTCCATATAATGAACTAGGAAACAACTCACATGAATAAAGGAAGCTAGAACCCGTACCCCATTTTTTGTGAACCAACCATCAACATTTGTTCCGACAAACTGACTTGTATAATAGATAACTCATTTATCTAGGATGCCAAAATATCCAACTTATATATTCTATTCAACTCCTATTGTGGTATGATCCAAATTCCATGTGATTTGGTATTTAGTTGATTAGAGAAAGTCTAAGGTATTTGGGTTTGTAGAGTTCTAATATGTTTGAAGATCAAATTTCAATAATAATTAAGAGTTTGGTTTGAAGGAGGACTCTTGGATGGCTAAAGGCATATTTTGGATTCCTTCTCCATCTTAGACTCAAATAAGAGGTTATATATATAGCCACATTTTATCTCCATAATACATATTCATATATTATTCTTTACATCNGGACTCCAATAAGAGGTTATATATATATAGCCATATTGTATTTCCATAATATATTATTCGTATCTTATTCTTTACATCTTCAACAACATATTGAGAGATTGAGAGTTTAGATTCCAATTGAGATTATTGAAATCTTGATATTGTAAATACAAAACTATTGATTATGGTGAATCGTTCTCTTCTGCCCGTGGTTTTTTCCCGAATTGGGTTTCCATGTAAATTTTTGTTTTCTTGTATCTTCTTCTTCATTACATTATTGCCATTATCTTGCGATCCATTTCATAACAAGTGGTATCAGAGCGCAAGGTTGATGTTCTGCATGGTGACAATAAAGTATGACATTCTGTTGTTGGATAGAAACACGAGATTCACATCAGTTTCTACTTCTTGTTTGACAAATGATGAAGTTACAAAACTTTGGCATATGATCCTCGGGTATATGATTGAGAATGGGATGGCGGAGCTGAGTAAAAAGGGACTTCTTGATGGGTAGAAGACCAGCAAAATTGAATTTTGTGA